AAACACAAGTAAACATCTTTCTGGTATTCTTTGCCTTGAGCCAAGATCCATCTGACAACAGCTATGATATCCCTTGTTCCACATCCTCTTCTGAATCCATTTGCTAGAGCTTTCTATTTGGTCTCCCTGAATCAAGCTTTCCTCTCTAGATGGCTCTACACCCAGATTCTAAAATAATCCCCATTTTAATCATGTCTCTGTTGTCTAAAAACTTTCAGTGGCTCTTCATATCTCAAAAGTGTAGCTTCCAAACCTCTGTATCTGATATTCAAGATTTCTAACACTCTTATATTTCATTGCTTCATAATCCAGTTATTTGCAGCCAGACTGGACCACTAAATTGTGATCATGGAGACACAGTAAGCTCTAGATCCAAAGGCTGAACTGTAACTTGCTTTGGAGGAGATGTGGTGGTCTGTAGGGCTGTAGAATGTTCGACCTTCGCAGGCTTCTTGGAGACACAGTAAGCTCTAGATCTAAAGGCTGAACTGTAACTTGCTTTGGAGGAGATGTGGTCTTCAAGGCTGTAGAATGTTTGACCTCCACAGTGGGTTCTGGAGACGTGGTAAGCTCTAGATCCCGATGCTGAACTGTGGCATTCTTTGGGGAAGGAGATGTCGTCTTCAGCGGGGCTGTAGAACGTTGGACTTCTGTGATGGGTTCTGGAGATAAGGTAAGTTCCAAATCCAAAGGTTGAACTGTAACTTGCTTTGGAGGAGAAGTGGTCTTCTGAAAGGCTGTAGAATGTGCAATCTTTGATATCAATTCAGGAGTTATGGTAAGTTCCAGATCCAAGGGTGGAACTCTAAATCCAGTCAAATTTGGAGGTTGAGCCTGAACCAGGTCTGGAGGTGGAAAAGTCACATTGGGGAGCTCTGGAGAAGAACCTGTAGTCTTCTGCAAGACCGCAGTATATTCAACATCCATAGTCAGTTCTGGAGTTACGGTAAGGTCCAGGTTTACAGGTTTAACTGTAACGTTGGGTAATTTTGAATGCTGAGCTTGATCCTGACCTGCAGGTGGAACTGTCACCTCATGATGTGCTGCACCTTGAACTACAACCCCCTTAGGATGCTCTGAAGGCAAAGTTGGAGTTTCCTGCTTGGGTGGAGTAGGCACAACCTCTGAATTGGGTTCTGGAGTTACAGTAATCTCCACAACTGGTGGCTGAATTGTGACTTCAGTCAATTTTGGCTGCTGAGCTTGAACCTGGTCTGGATGTAGAAGCATCACCTCAGGGGACTTTGGAGGAGCTGCAGTCTTCTGTGGGACTGCAGAATGTGCAACCAGTGTGCTCCGGAGTTATAGTAAGCTCCAGGTCCAAAGACTGGGTTGTGATGTTTGGCAAGTTCACATGCTGAGCTTGATAATCACCTGTTGGTAAAACTGTCACCTCATGAGGTACTAGAGGCTGATCTGCACCCTCTCTGTAGGTGTCTCTGGAGGTTGGGGTGGGGCCACTGGTTGGGCTGTCAATGATTCTGCCACCTTAGGAACGTCCTGAGGATGTGCGGAAACTCCTTGCTGGATTGAAGATTCCACCTCTTTAGGGGGCTCAGGAGGCTGATAAGGGGCCTCCTGCAGGAGAAGGTCCCATCTCCTTGGGGGGCTCTGGAGGCAAAACTGGGGCCTCCTGCTCAGTTGGAGAAGGTTTAACCTGGGGAGGCTGGGGAAGCTGTGCTGGGGCTTCCGGCTGGACCGCAGGAGGTTCCCCCTCCTCAGGGAGTTCTGGAGGAGGAGCTGGGCCCTCTGGTTGGACTGGCGAAGGTGCACCCTCCTGCAGAGTCTGAGCTGGGGCCTCTGGCTGGCTTGGGGAAGGTTCACCCCCCTCCAGAGGCTTGGAGGATGTGCTGGGGCTTCCTGAAGGCCTGCAGGTGGTCCAACCTCCTTGAGAAGCTCTGGACTCTCAGCTGGGACCTCCGGCTGGGTGGGAGAAGGTTCAACTTGCTGTGGATGCACTGGAGGCTGTGTTGGGGCTCCCTGCTGGATGGAAGTTCCAACCTCCTCAGGGCTCTCTGGATGCTGTGCTTGGAATTCCTGCTGGACTGAAGGAGACAGAACCTCCTCAGGGGCCTCTGGATGCTGTGCTGGGGACTCCTGCTGGGTAGCAACAGGTTCAACTTCTTCAGGAGGCTTTGGAGACTCAGCTGAGGCTTCCTCCTGGACGGGAGAAGGTTCAGCCTCCTCAGAGGGCTGTGGAGGCTGAGCTGGAGGAGAAGCCTCAGCCTTCTGGGGAGGTGCTGAAGGCTGAGCTGGAAAAAAAGGTTCAGCCTTCTGGGGAGGTGTTAGAGGCTTACCTGGGGCTTCCTCCTGGACTGAAGAAGGTTCAGCCTCCTCTGGGTGCTCCTCCACAGGTGGAACTGGTGCCTCCTGTGGGCCTGGAGAAGGTCCCACTTCCTCAGAGAGCTCTGGAGGCAGAGCTGGGCCCTCCTGCTGGGTTAGAGAAGGCTCAACCTCATAGGGAGGCTGTGGAAACTGTGGTGGGGCTTCCTCCTGGACTGGAGGAGGCTCAGCCTCTTGGGGAGGTTCTGGAAACCAATCTGGAGCTTCCTCATGGACTGGAGATGGTTCAGCCTCCTGGGGAAGTATTGGAGGCTGACCTGGAGGAGAAGGTTCAGCCTCCTGGGGAGGTGTTGGAGGCTGACCCGGGACTTCCTCCTGGACTGGAGAAGGTTCAGGTTCCTGGGGAGGTTTTAGAGGCTGAGCTGGAGGAGAAGGTTCGGCCTCCTGGGGAAGTGCTGGAAGCTGAAATGGAGGAGAAGATTCAGCCTTCTGGGGAAGTGCTGGGAGCTGAGCTGGAGGAGAAGGTTCAGCCTTCTGCGGAGCTGTTAGAAGCTGACCGGGGGCTTCCTCCTGGGCTGGAGAAAGCTCAGCCTCCTCTGGGTGCTCCTCCACAGGTGGAACTGGGGCCACCTGCGGGCCTGGAGAAGGTCCCACTTCCTCAGAGAGCTCTGGAGGCAGAGCTGGGCCCTCCTGCTGGGTTAGAGAAGGCTCAACCTCATAGGGGGGCTGTGAAGGCCGTGGGGGGGCTTCCTCCTGCACTGGAGAAGGTTCAACTTCCTGGAGAGGTGGTGGGGGCTGAACTGGGGCAGCCTGGTACACTGGGAAATGTTCAATCTCTTCGGAATATGTTGGAGGAGGGGCCGTTGTCCCCTGTTGGGTTGGAGGTTTCACCTCCTGCTGAGGTTTTAGCAGCTGTGTTGGTGCTTCCAGCTGTGTTGGACACAACTGAAACTCCTTCATAGTCTCTGGAGTGAGGGTGAGGTCCACATCCGTGGGTTTAACTGTGACATTGGGCACAGCTAAATGATGACTTTGATTCTGCCCCTCATGGTGGGCTAAACGTTGAGTTGTAGCCATCTTAGTCAGCTGTAAAGAATGAGTCTGGGCCTCCTGCTGGGCTGGAGAATCTTCACTCCCTTCAGGTGCCTCTGCACTCTGACCTGGGGTCTCCTGCTGCACAGAAGGCTCTCCCTTTCCTGTAGGGGCCTTGGGGGGCTGTTTTGGGGCTTCATGCTGGACTGAAGGTTCTTCCATCTCAAAGGGCGCTGGGTGAGCAGCTGGGGTCTCCTGCTGGGTTGAAAAAGGTTCTTCCTCCTTCAGGGGTTTCAGAGGCTGAGCTGGGCTCTCAGGATACACTGGTGGAGGCTCACCTTCTTCAGCATGCCCTGCACTCTGACCTGGGGTCTCCTGCTGCCATGAAGAAGGTTCTGTGTCCTCAGGGGGCTCTGGAGGCTGGCCTGGGGCTTCCTCCATGACTGGACGTTGAACCCCTTCAGTGCTCTGCAGAGTCTCAGCCGGGCTTTCCTCCTGCAGCAGAGATGGCTCCATCTCTGTAGAAGGATTTAGAGGCAGATTTGGGGCCTCCTGATGGGCTATGTAAGGTTTCACTGCTTGAGGGACCACTTGTTGGACTGAAGGTGCCTCCTCCTCAGGAGGTCCATGGCCTTCTCCCTTAGATAGAGAAGGTTGAGGTTCATCCTCCTCATAGAGCTCAGCAGGCTGACCTGGGCTCCCTAAGGATTCTAGAGGTGGGCTGTCTGGAGGATACATTATATTATAACTAGGGTCTAGATAATCATCCTTGGGTTGGTCTACTCGGTTAGATATTTTTGGCAATTGACCTGAAGTTCCAGCCACAACTTTAGCAAAGGGTAGATGCTGAGCTAGATCCTCTTCCAAGTTTGGAAATGAAACAATAAACTTAGTTGGTTTCGGACTCTGACTATCTAGACGCGGAACAAGTATTTCAAAAGTCTGATGACGTTGCCCTTGACTCATATCTGGAGTTTTAACCTTATTTTTGAGTCGAGGAGGCACAGCTACTGCCTGATTCTGATCCCAGTCTTGTACTGGAACCAAAACCGGGATCTTCTGGTGCTGAGTTCTATCCTGTTGTGGGGCAGCAAACTGACCTGGCCGTCGAGAATCTGTGCTCAAAGTTTCAGTGAAATCCGGAGGCGGGGCCAACATCTGTGCTGGAGCGGGGGACTCCACATAGTCAAAGCCCCTTGGCTTGGGAGGGGGTATTAAGATATAGGGCAATTTGGGTGGGCGTTCAGGGAGGGGAGAAAACCAGGGTTCAGTCATCTCTGGGACATCAGAGGGCAGTTGGACTAGGTCAAGGGCCGGCCTTCGAATAGGTGCCACCTGGACTGGCAGCAAAAGTGGCTGCAGTATCAAGAGCCATGGGGCCCAGAGATACTGCCAGGACATACACCGTGGAGGCTCCAGGACGAAGCGACGCATGCCAATGGCGTAACAGTGCTGCATCCTTAACAGGAACCAAACAGTTATGGCAGCCTGTGAAGCACCTGCATCTTAGCAACCACATGCCACTCCCACACCACATGCCCCACCCTATGTTTATGACATCTGCGGTGTAGTAAATTACCTGGTATGGCTTTTCTAGCCATAAGTCTTTGTAAACTCCATGGTGGAATTTGCTGTGAGCAACTGAGGAGCTCTTTTTTTTTTTTTTTTCACATGGTCCACTAGGCCCCTGGACTAATTGTTTCCATGTGTCTTTGTTTTTCTTTTCTTTTTTTATGCTGCTTTATTTATTTATTATTTTTTTAATAGTGATTTGGATGAAGATTTACAGAGCAGATTCACTTAAAAATATGGAATACTTCACGAATTTGCATGTCATCCTTGCACAGGGGCCAAGCTAATCTTCTCTGTATCATTCCAATTTTAGTATATGTGCTGCTGAAGCGAGCACATAACTGAGGAGCTCTTGATTGTTAAAGTTATCCACCTGGGGTATTTCTGTTGAGGGTGGTACAAAGCAATATTCTGAGAAGTTCACTCTCAGGTGCTTAGAATTCTAATGTAATGATTGGTTGGTTTTGCCTACAGGCAAAAGGAGTCTGTCTCTCAGACTGCTGGCTGAGAAAGACATGCTGCTGAGAGAAATGCACCCCTGAGAGACAGGCGCTGCTGAGAAAGAGACACACATTGCTGAGAGACACTGAGAGACATGCACTGCTGGCAGAGAGACTGTTGGCTGAGAGATGGCAGGCTGAGAGAGATTAAGCATTGTTCCTGAACTTGAATTGTAGCCTGTTGCTTCCCTAATAAACCCCATAATCTGTGAGTTCTGTGTGGCCACTGCAGTGAATGATCGAACCCAGCAAAGAGATGGTGGGTGCTGCGGGAGGAACGGTTGGTGTCAAGGTTGGTGAAAGGCCTGGAGGGAGGTGGCATGTCTGGCCTTGAAGGAAAAGGCCTTGGGCTCCTGATGGTGATTCTGTCTTCCTCTTGTGGGGTTAGAGGAGGTCAGAAGATGCGGCCTCCCTGCCCCTTTAGCAACATCTTTGTTTACTCATCACTGTATTAACTCTGTCAGAGATCAGTCCCATGACACAATGATGAGCATTTTTCCTAGAATCACCAAGGCCAAATCTTCCCTTCTTCTGCAAATGGAACACAATTTCAAAACCTCAACCCCCACCCCACAGCAAAGCAGGATTAGGGATCTTTCTGTCCCATGCCCAGCCCTGAGGCCCTGGCTTCTACGGCAGAGGCAGGGACAGAGAGCTGTACCAGACTCTCAGCAGAGTCAAAAGTCATGATCCGTTCCTGGAAGCCAGAACTCTTCCTCCTCCAAACTGAAATGCAGACATTCTTCCTCCCTTTGGACATACTCCTTCCAAGAAAAGAAAATGACCTGCAAAGTAAATGACCTGTGTAGTGCAGCCAAGAGGGGAGCAAACACATTAGGTATTTTACTCTAAAACGTTGCTATTTCCTCTAAACGCTCTATATTCTCTTTGTTCCACATTTGATTATGAACTTACCACTCTTATAAAGGAGGTACCACTTCCAGAAACACAAGTTGGATTCAGAAGGAGGGATATCACAGCTGAAGTCAGATGGATGTTGGCTGAAAGCAAAGAATACAAGAAAGATGTTTACCTGTATTTTATTGACTATGCAAAAGCATTCGATTGTGTGCATCATAACAAATTACAGGTAACATTGAGAAGAATGGGAATTCCAGAACACTTAATTGTACTCATGAGGAACATGTACATAGGCCAGGAGGCTGTCGTTCAAACAGAGTAAGGGGATACCACATGGATTAAAATTAGGAAGGGAGAACATCAGGGTTGTATCCTTTCACCATACCTATTCAATCTGTACACTGAGCAAATAATCCGAGAAGCTGGACTATATGAAGAAGAATGTGGCATCAGGATTGGAGGAAGACTCATTAACAACCTGCGATACGCAGACAACACAACTCTGATTGCTGATAATGAGGATGACTTGAAGTACTTACTAACGAAGACTGAAGACTACCGTCTGCAGTATGGATTATACCTCAATATGAAGAAAACAAAAATGCTCACAACTGGACCAACCAATAAGCAGCATCACAATAAATTCAGAAAAGATCAAAGTTGTCAGACTTCATATTACTTGGTTCTACAATCAACACCAATGGAAGCAGGACTCAAGACATCAGAAGACGTATTGCATTGGGTAAATCTGTTGCAAAATAACTCTTTCAACTGCTGAGGAGCAAAGATGTCTCCTTGAATACTAAGGTACACCTAATCTAAGACATGGTATTTTCAATTGCCTCCTATGCATGAGTCGGGGCCGACTCGACGGCACATAACAACAACAACAACCACCACCTATGCATGAGAGCTGGACAATGAGTAAGAATTGATGTTTTTGAGTTGTGGTGTTGGCAAAGAATGCTGAATGTACCATGGAATGCTAAAAGGACTAACAAATCTGTCCTGGAGGAAGTGCACCTAGCATGCTCCTTGGAAGCAAGAATGGCCAGACTTCATTTTACCTACTTTGGTCATGTTGTCAGAAGGGACCATTCTCTGGAGAAGTGGAGGGTCAACAGAAGAGGGGAAGGCCCTCAACAAGATGAATTGACATGGTGGCTGCAGCAATGGGCTCAAGTATAGTAGGGACCGTGAGGCTGGCGCAGGACTGGGCAGTGTTTAGTCCTGCTGTACATAATGTCGCTATGAGTTGGAGATGCCTTGATAGCACCTAACAACAACTCTAATTGCTGATGATGCCAACCTTTCTGTAAGAATCTTGGGGCAAGAGCCAAGCTGATTAAAGAAGATGACTGATAGGAGGCTAAGGTTTCTGGTTCCACTCAACCAGAGGCCCAAGACCATATTTAGGAAGATATAATCAAGGTGTGGTGAAGAGAAGATGAAACTGCACTGTTTTAAAAAAGACTTATGAAACAAAGTAGGAAGTCTCACACTGCTGGATCTCAAAACCTACTATACAGCCACAGTACTCAAAACTGCCTGGTATTGGTATAATGACAGACACATAGACCAATGGAATAGAATTGAGAACCTAGAAATAGATCCATTGACCTATGGTCAGCTGATATTTGACAAAGGGCCGAAATCCATTAAATGGGGAAGAAAATGTTTGTTTACTAAATGGTGCTGGCAAAACTGGAGATCCATTTGCAGAAAAATGAAACAAGATCTGTACCTCACACTATAAAGAAAAACTAACTCCAGATGGAACAAAGACTTAAATGTGAAACCTAAAACTATAGAGTTCCTCAAGGAAAAACTAGGGGCAAATTTAGGTGCCCTAATATATGACTATCAAGCATAACCCCAAATGCACAAACAGCAAAAGAGAAACCAGATGATTAGGACCTTCTAAAATTCAACTTTTTATGTGCTTCCAAAGACTTCTCCAAAAGAGTTCAAAGAGAACCTACAGATTGGGAAAAAATATTTGGCAATGACATATCTGACAAGGGACTTATCTCAAGAATTTATAGAAAACTCCAACACCTCAATAACAAAAAGACTAACAATCCAATTAAAAATTGGGCAGAAGACATGAATAGCCACTTCACCAATGAGGATATTCAAGCAGCCAACAAACATAGGAAGAAATGCTCACAATCATTAGCTATTAGAGAGATGATAATCCAAACAACAGTGAGATACCACCTTGCTCCAGCACTAGTAGCAAAGTTAAACAAGACACAAAATAACAAATGCTGGCAAGGATGTGGAGAGATTGGGACTCTCATACACTGCTGGTGGGACTATAAAATGGTACGACCACTGTAGAAAGCAGTATGGCGATTCCTTAAAAAGTTGGAATTAGAAATACCATTTGACCCAGCCATTCCCTTACTAGGTATATATCCTAAAGAAATGAGAACAAAGACAAAAGCAGATATATGCACACCCATGTTCCGCAGCATGATTTACAATAGCCAAAAGATGGAAACAACCTAGATGTCCATCAACTGAGGAACGGATAACCAAACTATGGTACACACACACTATGCAATACTATGCAATGCT